GGACGGAAAGACAGCAAGTTCAGTGTGAGTTTTGTTGCAGATGATTTATTATTAATTTAGTTACTCAGAGTTAACAATTAACTATTTTTGAAATCAGTCAAGCCAGTATGATATTTTCATAACACAATATGTGCTTTTTCCTTTCAATGAATGTAGGGGCAACTGAAGAAGGCTGAGATTTCACTCAAAGGTTATCAAGAGCGCCCGTGGATGTGTAACAATTTAACAGGTAAAGACATTTTTTTGGGTAATATATTAATGACATGAGGACCGGGACTCGTCAATGATTAGTCCCTATGTTCTAGTTTGGGTTGCGTTACAAGGGGAAATTGGTCTTAAAAAAATCCCGTCCATGTGTGAGGACTATTACCACTGTGGTGAATATAGTTTAAAAAAAAAAGGACAAGCTGGAATTGATTGTGCAGATAGATAAACAAAGAGATAGATGGATGGATGGACGGACGGACGGACGGACATTGTGGACTCATACTCATACTAAGCCACGTTTATTCACCCTTAACAGCATAGCTTTTATTTTGAGTAATAATTGATATTATTGTTATAAAACATGTGAACAGCCTGTGAGACACAGCCTGACAATAAATTGCTCTTTCTTGATCTTTTTTTCCCCTCCAGATATTATTTTTCCTTTTGACTCCTTAAAAAGTGACAGCCAGGAGACTGCTTTCTCAAGTAAACCTCCGAAGAGCAAGCTGCAAAAAGTCCATGTTTTGGAGTCTAAAGGATACATAAGCTCGCGATTTGAAACAGATGGGTGGCAGAAGGACCTGGAGAAGAAAATGGTAGACATTGCTAACACGCTGGACATGGTCAAAGCTCAGGTAATCCCTGTTTAAAATACGTATGATCTGTAGGGCTTTTAATAATGAACCTCAGAGTTTACATTTTTGCTGTTTCGTGGGATTGTAACTGAAGTTACAAAAATGAAATTAGGTGAGGTGGGTTATTTACGTACATGAAGTAACAGTCAATAGGATAACATAGAAAGCTTTGGCAAAACAAAGCAGGGCACTGGTAGGGTGAATTCAACACATTTACATGCCACAATAGAGTTAGAATATGGACGAAATACAGACCATGGACATCATAAAAAAATGTCATGGCCATGTAGTTGCCAAAGAACCCATAATGAAAATTCAGTATTTGAAATGTGATCACTGTTAAAAACTAAAACCACTCAAATTACGTCTCATAAAATACAGATATGGTCAGTAAGCTTAGTTGCATAACTGAACTAAGGATTCCTCGAGGAGGAATCACAATGGGACTCCAATGGGTCAGATACTGTCAGGGCTGTGTTCGAGGCAGAAACCAGAAGGAAATTGTTCAGAGAGTTTGTTATTGGAGAGGTGATTGTGGATTTCTGAAGCAACTATTTTCCCAACGGTTTTGGAACGGAAGGGTAAGTTGGAGATAGGGATTTGCAAGGGAAATGAATCATTGCTTTAATAAGTGATGTGTAAACGCAAGAGAGGCTTTGAGTAGGACTGTAGCAAGTGGATCTAAATGACTGGTACCTTATCTTCGGGACTATACGGACTAGAACTCTGGAGTATAAGTCACACCAGTGCCCTCTAGCAGCTGTCCATGTGAAACTAAACAAACGTGAAATTATACATTTTAACCCTTTCATGCATGACGGTCACTACAGTGGACAGCTATTAAAATGTCATTTTCTATGATAAGAATAGGTTTTGATGGCAGTGTTGCATATAAGCCTCTACAGTGGACGCCTGAGAATCACACTGCCATCATTAAGCCTCTACGGTGGACGCCTGAGAATCACCCAACACTGCCATACAGTGATCAGCCTTTGCAACTGCAGAATAATTGTGTCAACATTCAAAAAGAAAATTTGGTGTATAAAAACAGAACCAAATCAGTTCTTATTTTTATGTCTAAAAACACATAAAAACACTTAGTAACATTTTTTTAACTCAGTATATCACGGGTCATGCATCAAAGGGCTAATATAGTTGCACCTAAGTATAAGTAAGTTGCAAACTCAGCCAAACAATGAGAAAATCTCGTTTTGACGATGTAGAATGTAGACCTACAAGCTCGCATCAAGTTCCTCGAGGGATGCGAGTGTGTGAGGAAGCATTGCGAATGGGAAGGACAAACGCTGGACGATAGGCACCGCTGGCAAACTGACCACGGCACAGTTTGTACCTGTACGTCAGGAAAAGTCGTCTGTCAGAAAAGCAGAGGTAAAGACATCTGAGCTGATGCCTGTTTGTCAAATCTTTCTCTTCCATTTCTGCTTTTCCTCATTACTGCTCTTCACTTGTCCCTTGTCCTTCTCATAGCAACGACGTCATATGTGTTTAATTGTCCTTGTGCTAAATGATACCCCTTTCCTAAACCCCTGTCTCTCTCTATTTCTCTGTCCAAATGAAAAGTGTTTTAGGGTGCACTTACACTAGAGGACTTTTAATTTGTCCTCAGTAAAGCAAATTTTTGGACTCGCAGGCCACAATGGGCCCTAAAATTTGACAGCGGGCCAGGTGAAGAGTAGATAGACGGAGCATTCGTATGCAGTAAAACAAGTGTAAAACTAATGTAAAAGTCATAAATGATAATAGAAATTCGGACCGGATTAAAGAGCCAAATGGGCCACATCTGGTCCCGGGGCCTTCGTTTGCCCATGTCTGCCTTAGAGTCTCCAATAATAGCGTAATTAGTTCTAGCATTATTTCCCGTGTAAGACTAATGGGATAGTTAGTAAAATTCAAATCATGGAATCAAAATGTGATTTGATTTACAAGAGAACCAAACATTTATATACGCCCAAAATATGATATTACAGGCACGACGGCAAAAGAAAGAACAGTGATCTAATTTACTCTGTAAAAGTTTATATAATCACCATACTAAAGAAATCAGTTAAAAACATGGGATAGTGTACCCAAAAGGGGGACAACACAACAACGTAACATTAGCCTTTTTCGTCAACACCAAATTGTCATAAGGGGTAAAAAAAACTGCATACATTTTGCAGTGCACATGTACCGTGTCCTTTACTGCAGTCTCCTCCTGTGTTTTTGTGTCTGCACAAAGGAGGATTTCATGGTTTTATGACCTTTCAGTCAGTGTTGTGTGAGGCTGCACACAGCTTTCTGCTGGTGGATCTGTGGGAACGTAAGGAGCACATCGAAGTTAGGCAACCAGAGGCCAGAGCTCTCCAAGAGGGCGGTAAAGTAACACACATAAAGGCAAAAAAAAAAAACCACACACCTCGAAACTCTATGAGCTCAGATAAGTGGAGCAAATAAAACTGCATTATCAAAACAAAGCCCCCTGTGGTCAACATCGCAGATGTCATACATCTATAAGAATAGATCATGTATTATATTGAGTTATAATATTTTGAAATAAGTAAACAAAATACACAGAAGTAGAGCAGGAGAGTTGTTACCATCATACAGAGATCAATTTGGAGATTAGTGACTCGCTCAGTTTTGGTTTTTTTTTCACTCATCTCCAGCTCATTTCCAGCTGTAATTCTTCATGTTTAAGGGGGGGAAGCTCCATATATATTCACACACACATATATATATATATATACATATAAATAAATTAGATTAAATCGAATCAATTAATAATAGACATTAAAACAGAATACATTTTACAGATAACATTGAAATCAAAATAGATCACACACACTCATTTAATTTTTTTTTTTTTTGCCGACTTTGTGACGCTGTTGCGATTCATACAACTATTTCAATTTTCTATTTTAATCCAAACATTTTTTTTTTTTTTTTTACGCTGGAGCTCATTGCATCAAAACCATGCAGCACCAGAAGTCACATTAATGGTAAAAAAGAATGTATTTTATGTATCGGATAGCTTTCTGTAACAACATTATTAAAAAACAATAAAAAAAATCAGAGACTTATTAAATTATTGGTCTTGCTTAAAAAAAATCACACATGTAGTTGTATTCAGAGTAAAATAAATATTGTATGTAAATACAATTTTAAAATATGTGATTTTTTGGCCCCTGCTCTAGAAGGTTAAGATAAAGTTTAATGTGAGAGGGAACAGTAACAACCTTTTGAAACTTTTGAAGATCACTGGGAAACAATTTGAGCTTGTATGTCTAGGATGTACTGTCGGTGGTCATGATTTCCCTGATGGCGCTGTGATTCCCACTGGAGACCGTTGTCAAGAGTGCACATGTGTGGTAAGTCAATGGCTATCAAATGAACCCTTTCATGCATGACGGTCACTACAGTGGACAGCTATTAAATTTTTTGTCATTTTCTATGATAAGAATAGGTTTTGATGGCAGTGTTGCATATAAGCCTCTCCGGTGGACGCCTGAGAATCACCCAACACTGCCATACAGTGGTCAGCCTTTGCAACTGCAGAATAATTGTGTCAACATTCAAAAAGAAAATGTGGTGTATAAAAACAGAACCAAATCAGTTCTTATTTGTATGCCTAAAAACACATAAAAACACTTAGTAACATTTTTTTAACTGTCTTTGTGTGTGTGTGTATGCAATTTATGGAATTTTTAATGGCTAAAATTGTTATGATTAATGAGGTTAATGGGCAATGATTTGACTATTATCCATTTTGCTTTCCATTGCATTACAGAAAACAGTTCTTAACTTCAAACAATTAAAAGAACAACAAGAAAAGTGTATGAAATTTATGTTGTTCTTTCAATACAGAGTAATCATATATCATAATTATGTATCATAGTGTAAACCAGCGGGTTCTTCATTATTTTCTGTCATGCCCCCCCTTGGGGACAGTAATGTTTTCACGCCCCTCCCTTCGACCCACACCCCGGGCGAATTGAAATACTATTGATAACCTGCATATTTTTTATCTGTACAAACCACTGTATGATTTGCTGCCACCTAGCGACTAGAGGCTTGTTATCATTCAAGCATCACAGCAGCGGTAATTGAACTAATCTTTGCTCTGTCTTCACCAGAATGGGAATGTGGTTTGCTCCCCTCGTCCTTGTCCTGCATTGCCTTGTAAAAATCCGGTCCATCTTGCCGGAGACTGTTGCCCGAGGTAAAAGTGGTGCTTAGCTCTTTTTTTTTTTTTTTTTTTTTCATTTCCGAAAACCTGACTGAATCTTCTCCAACCTTGAGCGGGAAAGTTTCTCCTCCTGACTGTGTTGTATCTGTTAAATCCGCAGGTGTGAGCATTGTGAACACGAGTCCAAGCTGTACACTGATGGACAGATGTTCAACTCACCGACCAACCCCTGCCTGCGCTGCCACTGTTCTGTAAGTCACGTCAGTGAACGCTTTGAGTGCTCCATTATGTGCTTCTATATTTTTTAATCGCACAGTCCAAAATGTAAACAAGGAATTTTCGACACAGCACACGTGAGGTATTGATATGCAGAAGCACCATTTAACAGAAAAAAATTGGGACAGGGTTTCTCGATTTACGACGTCATCGACCTACGGGCTCTCGTGGTTACATCACCAAATTCTTTTAAATTCATTCGGAATGTCTGGTTCCTTCCTTCTGACGTACGGCGTTATAACTCGCCAACTAATACGCATGGGAACTAGTTGGCGAGCGAGCAGATAAATGCCCTGTCATGTGGCGCCTTATGCGGAAGACAGCTTTGTTTTTGGTAAACAAAGCTGCTGCTGGTTGTACGCCTTATACATTTGTGCTTGAGAATCGAGTCACGTCACACGATGGCAACGAAATGCCGGCGTAAATCGAGGACCCCTGTAGAAACCATAGACCCTGTCATTTTGGCAAGCGTTGCCATTTGTGAGTTTGCCCGGCTGTTTCTCCTCCTGTTGTGCTGTAAACCGGTGTTATCAGTCACTGTGAGTACAGTAATTGAGCTTTTCTTTGTTTCTAAGTCAGGTGAAATGTCCTGTGAACCTTTGGATCAGCCATGTCCTACACCGCAGTGCAACCATCCCGCCCGACGCAAGGGAGAGTGCTGTCCCGCATGTGACGGTTGGTTTTCGTTCTGCTATCTT